GTGCCCGGCTTCGACCCTCTGGCCCAGATCGATTCGTTTCTCCCCGCGCTGCTGGCCTATGCCGCGTACGTCAACACGACGTACCCATATCTCACGCTCTCGTACGAGAACCTCCCACACCCCCTGCCGGAAGAGCTGCTGCAGCCGTTTACGGTCTTTGCGGCACGGCACAACTTCACCCCCATGCTCCAGTTCTTCGACAGCCTTGCGCAGAACATCGGCAACCTGTGGCAGCTGCCGACGTACCAGGCCATCCACGCTTTAGACCCAAAGCTCGTCGCAGCTGCCCTTCAGGGCTTCATCAACGCTGCCTCGGGCGACAACCAGGACATTTACTCGGCCGCTGCCGCGTATCTCGGCGCGGAGAACGTCCTCCTCAACAGCACCGTCCTCGACGTTGACCGCTCGGGCAGATGTTTTGGGCTAGAAGAAGAAAAAAAAGGTGACGCCGGCGGCGTCTGCGTACTCCGTAAATCCTCGGCGTTGTCGGGGAATGAGACCACACTCATAAAGGCCCGCAAGCTGCTCGTCGCCATCCCACCCTCGCTCGCCTCGCTAGCTTCGGCACACATGGACCTCGACGCGCATGAGCACGCCGTCTTCTCCAAGCTGCACGGCCTCACGTACGGCGTCACCGTCTTCGCGCACCCGGGGCTCAACACCAGCGACATGTATGTCAATATCGGCACGCACACCCCGGATAACTTTCTCTCGCTCCCGGGTGCCTTTGAGTACTCGCCACTGCCCGAGGGACGCTTTTCCGCGTACTTCGGCGCGCTCGAGGAAAGCGGTTGGACCGACGTCGACGTAGAGGCCCTCATCCGCGGCGAGATTGCCCGCATGATCGCGCACGGCAACGCCGCGGGCGACCCTGCCGATGTGACGTTTGATTTTCTGAAGATTCACGCACCGTTCCGCCTCGCCCCGACACGGCACGATGTCGCAAATGGCTTCTACAAGGAGCTTTATGCGCTCGAGGGCCGGCGCAACACATTTTGGACGAGCGCCGCCTGGACGGAGGAGGATAGCTCGCAGATCTGGTTGTGGAGCGAATTGTCGCTGCTGCCCAAGATGGAGGCGGCGCTGTGCTAGCAGGAAGAGAGCCGTTTTGTATATATGCCAAAAATGAATGCCACCTTTTCTTTTCTTCGAGAGCCACCGTCCGTCGTTCAGATTGACGATGTAGTGCGAATGCTTCGCTGCAGTCTTTGCCGCTCCACCAGCCGCCCGATCTGAAGAAACGTTTATGTAACCAGAGATAACATCCTGTCGGGTCCAGATCGTGGGCTGTTGATAAATACCGCGCAGGCGTGGGCTCGGGTAAGACTTGCTATGGTCTTAGACTACCTGTTGAACTCGCACTGTCTCTGGAGTCGCTTGAGCTCGCGATGTTGGCCAAGAGTACACAGTTTTAATCACATCTCTTGGGACATCGCTCATTTCTCTCGCGCTTCTGGAGTAAACCGCGGTGGACGTATCCGCCGGGCATGGTATCAGACATTCCGTGTTCCATTTGCTTGAAAGGCGAGCAAAAAACCATGTACAAAATCTCATATCTTTGGGTGGATTCGACCCACCGGCTCTCCCAGACTATCCTGCGTTGCACCAGTCATGGCTAAGAACGGGTGTCATTACCCCACGAAGACGTAGCACGATTCTCGCTCCCGTCCATCTCACTAGAATCGGTAACCGCTACGCCCATACACGCTTCAGAGACAGCGCCGGTTCAAAGCTTCACCTCGCAAGGCAACTCCTCCTGGAATAAACGGCAAAGGATTCCCGGTGATAATTATCCGAAAGTCCCAATTCATTTCGCTGGAGTAAACGAATCTCAGTGAGATTCATAGTTATTTGAACCGAAAAACCCTGACGATATACAGATGCTCTCGGCTGGTTCAGATCGGCGATCTCTTGATGCTCCCTTGGGAGACAGCTGCAATTTGGCTCAAAGATCTCTTGGGAATAAAGAACTGGGATGCTTTCCCCGTGTCTGTGATCTGCGGGACAAAAAGGCGTCGTCTCGTCTAGGTCCCCAGGTGGACTCGAACCACCGTCTCTCCGTTAAATACATTTCCTGCCGACACATCGCGTCGGAGCGAGCTTCATTACTCCAAGAAGACGTTGGTATCTACATTACTCAGCTGAATGAATCGTAGGTTCTCACCGCCGGTGGGCTGAACTAGATTGTCGGGAAAACCTGAAGAATTAAATTACTTGATCCGGAGCACACTCTCGTCCCATTGTGGGGCCATACAGCTGCACTGCCCGTGGGTCTCCATTTACCCCTCTTGCTTCCGCCTATGCCGAGTCACAGTTCAACCTGTGAGAATTTAGCAAAAGGGGCGGCTTGTGCCGGCTGTCCGCTTCCTGGCCTGGGCGACGTCACGAGTACACCCAAGAATAGTAGCATAGGCGTTGGTGAGTGCCTATTGATGGCACTGAACGCCTATTCTCAAGTTGAATATTTTGATGCCTATTGTTGAACAACTATCGGTCCGGGGTTCGCCGTCGCCTATCATTTCCGGGGCCAGTCACGCTTCACCCTCTTTCTCTTACCACCACCACCTTCCTCCTGCTGCTGCCGCACTCAATGTGCCAGGATCCTCCTCGGTGCCCCTAGCATAAGGCGGCTCCTTTATTCCCCGGCGCTGAAACCAGCGTGCACCGGCACCAGTGCGCACCCGCCCCGCTTATCCCCACTTTCTACCACTATCCGCTGGACCGCTGCCGGCCCTGGGTGAGAAAAGACGCACCCAGATTGAACGTCATAAAGGGGTCTGGTACGTCCCACTCCTTCCACTTACTACTGGCTGTCCTCCCGGGTGCGCGACGGCTCAGCGCCGGGGCTCTACCGCGTTTGGAGGCTTCGACAGCGGTTGGCCGCGGCATGGTCAACCCACCTGTTGGCACATTCCCACCCCCCATGCAGGGCCCTCGAAGCTCCACGCGCCTCGCGTCCCACCCCCTACTGCGCGAATACGTCAAGACAGCACACCGGCACACGCGTTGACGCGACCGCGGGCGTGAGACCCACTTTGTACTCAGTAATGTACTAGTAAATCCCTAATTAATCCTCGCAAATAATAACTACTTGGCGATAAAATTGATCTAACACACGGTGAATATTCTCCAAGGCACGAGGCGCTGCGCCAACTTGTGACAGAGTTCGAAGCTGTCGCTATGTTGAAGAAGAGGAAGATGCCCGGCTTGTAGGTTCGATGAAAGGGTTGGTGGTCTGCGGGTTTTAGAGTGGATGTGTCGATTTGGAGTTGGCAAACTGGGTGCGCGGATCAAGTGCGAAAGAGGCGTTATAAGAGGGTATCGGTGGGTCGTCGAATTGGTCGTCAGTGAGAGTGACGTCGAATCAAAGCTGTTGTGGGTTGAGTACGCCGAATTGCGCACTTGCGGGGGTTTCTAGTTCGTGGATGGGCACGTAAGAACACTGAAGATTGGGTGATAGCCCGCACTGGCTCGCACAGATGAGCGTGGAAGGTAGAATCTATTTTCCCCAGCACCGTGGGCGCGTATTTACATCGTAAATAAATTGTGTCAGCAAAATGAGTAATAAAATGGCTAGACGCCGAAACCAGCATTTGGTTGAACTTCCACATGCCAGCCAATTCAGCGGGGGTCGTCTCGGACACTCCGTGTTCCATTGGCTGACAAGGCGGGGATAAAAAGGAAGTCGACAGGACCTATGCCCTCGGGTGGATTCGAACCACCGTCGCTCCATTGGACGCATGTTAGGAGAAACACTGCATAGAAGCGAGATTAATTACTTCATGAAGACGTTGGTAACTGCATTTCTCACCTGAATGAATCGCAGTCTCACTACCAGTGAGCTGAACTGGATTGTCGGCAGAGCTGAAGAATTAAATTAATCCGGGACACGCAGTCGTTACATTTCCGCGCCATAGATTTGCAGCGCCCCTCGGGTTTCATTTTATACACTCGATAACCGCACCTTCCGTACGGCGAATCACAGTTCCACGTTGCAAAAAGTTGTAAAAGCATGTGTCGGAGCTCTCCGGGACTCAAACAAGGACAACGCGGGATCTGCCGAATTGAGGATGCCATCACGCGCTCTCGCTGTGTCTATCTGCCGATATGCCTTCAGGTGGACTCGAAGCACCGGCTTTTCCCGAGTAATATCCATTGGAAACATTCTTCAATGGTTGGGAGCGGTTTTCATTACCCCACGACTTGCCACCCTCTTTACCTCTCGGCTTGGATTCACCTCACTTGGGACAGCGGCCATTCAAAACCTCTTGGTTTTATGTGTAAAGACCGTGGGTGGACCGAAAAAATGCTAACCGACGACACCCCATGTCCTCGGGTGGATTCGAACCACCGTTCCTCCCAGTGCTTTATTCGTCCCGCCCCAACAGCTGGGAGTGGGTTTCATTACCCCACGAGGGCTGTGTATCCTTCACTGAACTCTGAGTGAACTCACTATCGCACAAGTGATTTACTGGATTCCGCTGACAAAAATACCCTACACGTGGATGACTATGGATCCGGCCGGGAGATAGAGCTGCTGTTGTTATTTGGGGGGAGTGTATCCCGCCCTCCATGAGAGTCCACGAACTCTGAGTGATCCACATTTCAAGGTGGAGTCCAAAGTAATCGCAGATCATCGCGACATTATGCTGCGGTGGATTGGAACTCTCGGCTCTCCCAGGAACCGATGTCTGAGAGCGGGTTTCACTCTCCTACGGCGATGTGGTATTTCACTTTAAACACGCATTCATCTCAGAGCCCCTCATGATCAACCCGTTTTGACCTACCGCCTGTGTTAATTCGATCACGGGCAATACGAAATCCGGCCCGCAACTCGGACACGCTGGGGCCGTCCGGAGCGCAAGAATCAGTGCCTATGCGAGCGCTCTAATACGATCCACCTGCTCGGGGCCATTTACCAAATTTTCGCCCCTGTAACCACACCACCGGAGCTCCAGAAACTGGCTGCGCGGTAAAAAAAATAGCCACTGGCCGTTGAATGTCCCCGAGTGGATTCGAACCACCGTCTCCCCCGTATTTACTATCCCAGCATATGGGATGGGAATAGATTACACTACCCCACGAAGACCTTATATCTACCTCTGAACTGTCAATAAACTCCCACTCGTGTGAACCCGTGAACTCGCTGATGTCGACCACGAACGCGTCCGAGTCGGAGCCAGTCTCTACAGGGTAGCGCAGGCGTTAAGCTTGTTGTAACACGAGCAGAAGATGGAAATTACAATACACAGCACATTCAGTTTCCGCATGCGCGTCTGGCGAGCTGCTTGAGGAAATCAGAACAGAAGGCGTCGGAGAGAGCCGGGATGACAAATCGGGACACCCCGGGCCGAAGTGCAACCGCGGCATCATTGACTTCAGCGTTGTCCTGGCGTCCCGTTTCTGCAGCATCCAGCCCACCTTGCGGCACAATTTGCAGCGCTCGCGATGCGCACGACCTGCCAGTCCCGCCTCGCTACGACTTCCCGCCACCTACGTCGAAGCTCGCATTCCCCCTTGCGCTCAACCCTGCGGTCAAAGCGCCCTTCATCGCCGTCCCATCGCGCTCATACCCACCGGCTAGCGTTCATCCCGGGCACCGCCAATTTCATCGGCGCGTCGAATCTCTGGTGCTTCTCGTCTTGGCGCTCGGCATTCTTCTCTTCCGCGCCGTCGACTGCAAGCCGCTCGTGATCGCTCGTTCGGTCCTGCGCATTTCAGCCTCGCATTTTCGCCTCCCTCCACGCCTGTCCATGCCTTCACATCCGCCCCGCCTGCGCGCTGCCATTATCGCCACCCGGCCACCGCCCGCTCCCGCCTACCTCTAAAACGTCTACGTTGCCCTGGTCCCACCTCATCGCTGCAACGCACATCCCGCTGCGCTCGCGCTCGCGCGCGCAGTCACATAGCACCCGCACCCGCACCCGCCCCTCGCCTTCGTAACAAGCACCACCACTCGTGACGATGCCCTTCGGCTGGGCCTTCCCCGCTTTCCCCGTCGGCGCCGCGCGCGCCATCCTCCACTTGCCCCCACACCTGAAAAGTCCGACGCCGCCGCAAAATCAGCTGGAGCTGACGCACGGGACTACGTCAAGGGGCTCTCCCTGAGGCATGCGCCCCAGAGTCGTTCTCCTGCGTCGTTCTCCTCTCACGAGCAGGATCATGCAATCCACTCTGTGCGTCGCACGTCTAATCTTCGAATCTGGATCCGCGCACTGCAGCGTGCTCCGCGTGCATCGAACCCGCCCCGCGATCCCGAATACCTCCGCCCACGGAGATGTGCATGCCGTGCACCACGTCCAAGACTCTCAATGGTCGTGCACGCCGTACCGCAAGCTGTACGTCTCATGCCGTGGTAGCGCGGGCGATATTCCGCTGTGCTTGTGATCTTCGGCGTCTCTCTTCTGCGTAGCCCTGTCTCTCTCAGCCCACCTCTTTGGAGTCAGAGTCAACTGGAGCGCCGCTGACCTCGTTCCGAATGGTCTTGCCGTCGCTCATTCAACTCGCTCACTACTCTCTCCTCTCCAGCGTCCACTTCAAACCACTCCCTATTGCTACCCCTCCTGTGAGTCTAACATCGGTCTGATCATTCAGACGTCGCGCGGTGGATTAGATCTCCTGGGTTAACGTTCTGGGGAGCGAGATGGGCAAGGAAGAGGCTGGGAGCGGATCGTTCCTTTTTGCTACCCTTGGTCAACTCACAATATTGGTTGACATGGCTGACCTGACGATCTTTGAATGCGTCTCCAGTATATCTGGCAGGCTCATCTACAAGACAAAAATCACTGTCATCGCAACTCATGACTTCGGGTGGATTCGACCCACCGCCTCTCCCGGATTTCCTGTAATAACAGCTAGAAGCGGATTCATTCCCCCACGAAGGCTTGCTACGGTCTTCGATTACTGTTGAACTGGCAATGTCTCTGGAGTCTTTTGAGGCCGCGATGTTGGCCAAGAGTACACCGTTTACAGTACACCGTTTTAATTCACATCTCTTGGGCCGTCGCTCCTTTGTCTCGGGCTTCTAAAGTAACCCGCGGTGGTACCTACCCGGCGGACATGGTATCAGACATTCCATGTGCTTGGAGGCGGCAAAAACGGCGCGTAAGATCTCATGTCTTCGGATGGATTCGACCCACCGGCCCTCCCAGATTATCCCGCGGTTACACCAATAATGGCTACGAGCGGGTTTCGTTACCCCACGAAGACTTGGCATGGCTCTCGTCAGTTTTTCGAAGTCTCAATCCCACTGGATCTGGTTCAACTCGCGATTCTTGAATACATCTCTCTCTCTCAGACCTGCGCCGTTCATCTCGCGGTTGACGCCATGAATCTCTCTGGCTAATGATTATCCGGCAGGCGTCATCTGCGACAGTCCGTGCTCTTTCTGCAAGGAAACAAAACGCATGTGGAAGCGACCCAGGTGGATTCGAACCACCGTTCTCTCCCGGGACATCCCATTTGGCAATGAAACAGTTGAGAGCGGGTTTCATTACCCTACGAGGACTCTGGACGCAGCGACGAACCACTCGGGCACTCCCACTTTCTCTTGAGCTCACTAGGAGCAGAGCCCCGGAACTCGGGGCGGGCTTGACGCGACCTCCGCTGCGCAAAGAATCCACGAGCGCCCCATGTCTTCGGGCGGATTCGAACCGCCGTCTCTCCCTGATTATTCATCCTTGCAGTCATATGGCTAGGAGCGGGTTTTCTTACCCCACAAGACTTGTGAGGGCTCTCGCGATCCTCAGGAACTCAGAATTTCCTGGACTCGTCTAGTTTCCGCGGGGTAAAAAGTCATCGTCCTCGAGTGGATTCGAACCCCCATCGCGCCCGGAAAGGTTCGAATCAGCTACGAAACAGCCGGGAGCGGCATACATTACCCCACGAAGATACGTTCATAGTCTGGAATCGGGCGACTCGGCGATGTCGCGCGCTCAGCGGTTAGCCGCAATGAGAATTTTCAATGAGAATTCGTCGCTTAGGTCAGCTCGGAGGAACTCCTCCGATAAACCGTTTATAAATACCTGGTCCATGTTTCATTTGCTTGCACGGCCAAAACCGTCAGGGGCCGTTTCTTAGATCCTCGGGTGGATTCGAATCACCATCTCTCCGTTGAACGAACGTCAGAACGAAATACTGTGACGGAGCGAGATTCATTACTCCACGAAGACGGTGCCATGTGCATTTTTGGCCCGAATAGATTTTAGTTTCTAGCCGTCGGTCGGTTTGGTTGACCAAGAAATTCTGTCAAGTAAGGCAAAATTCAAAAACAAATCGATCAACTAGTCGAGATAGTAGACCACGACTAAATTTGTGATCGCGGATTGTATAGTCGGAGGCTGCCTTCGAGCCCGTGGTCGGGCAGATTTCATTACCACACGAAGTGTGGTTCCTTTCAACGCAGATCCTATCTTTCAATTCTGATTGCACATTCGATGATAGAGAATTTAAAAGCCGGGGACTAACTGCATGCGGAGACCTCAAGTGAGTCCACCACATCGCTGGCTTGTGACAAAAAAAAGCCTGATCGGTTCCACTCATGTCTTCGGGTGGGTTCGAACCACCGTCTCTCCGTTGAAGTTTTATCTCAGAGACCCGTTGTATCTGCTCGGAGCGAGATTCATTCCTCCACGAAGACGTTGAGATGTTCTTTCCTCACCTGTTTGAATGCCATTGATATTTCGTCGGTGCTCACTGACTGACATAGTCTCGACCGTACCGGCGTAAGACTGGGGCACAAGGAGCCTAGCCTCAATGGTCCTTCCCTTTCTATTGATCCAATATTGTGAAAAAGTGTGGAGGTATGGGGAAAAGCCCGACAAAAGCAGCGGCCTCGGAGATCACCGGGATACCAAACAAGGCCACCCGAGATCTACCGCGTTATTGATGCCATCACACGCTCCTCTTCTCCTGCGCTATGCATGTCCCGCGGATCGCCCCCACCCGCCCTTGCACGCCGCATTGAAGCCGTGCTCTCACTTGGGAATGAATTCTACCCGAAGCGTGTGCGGGGCAGCACAAGCACAAGGCCGTGAACTGGATCCTGCGCTCGGGGCTGGCAGACGTCGTGCGTTCTGAATGCTCCCACTCCTCGCATACCCTACGCAACCACCATCCGCTCGTTGCTCCCGGTCTCGCTCCGGAGCTTCCTCCTCGTCAACGCCAACGCGACCGCCACCTTCTCCGCCGTTGACGTCACCGATGCTCCCTCCGCACCAAACCCGTGCTCTCCATGTCAACGCACGACCGCCGCGCCGACACCGGCTAACTTGCACACTCCTCGTAGTCCCCACCCTCTGCATCAGCATCCGCCCCTCCTCTCCATCCGCCGCTCGTCCCCGGCGCCGGCCCGCGCACGCTACCCATCGCGCCCACTTGCTCACTGTTGATCTTTCGTCGCTCGGCGCTCCACTCGTCGGCGTCGCGCTCTGCAAGGCCCTCGGTCGCGTGCTGCGCGGCTCTTTTGCCTCCACTATCACGGCGGATGCCCAATTTGTATGCTGTACGCCCATGCCGCTCCCCGGCACCCGACGCCCAAGCAGGCGCGCACCACGAGCAACATGATCAAGGGCCAAGAAAACGGCGAGGAGCGCATTCACCCCCTCTACGAGGACGTCTCGCTACCCGGGTGAACTGGCAACGTCGCTGGGCTCAGTCTTCGCGGTCTTCGAATTTACGTCTCTCGAAACAGCGGTCTTCACCTCGCAGTAAAATCACAAATCCTGCTCGTTCAAAATGTCTTGGGACGGATCATTTCGCGCTCACCTGCTTGATCTCTGTGACCAAAAAAAGCTCGCTGTAACCTCATGGCCTCGGGTGGATTCAAACATCTCTTCCATAGTTAGTATGCCAACGGCACTGCCGAATAGACTGAGAATGGGTTGCTTTACCCCAGGTCTGAACCGTTCTTCAAGCCCACGCTTTCCTAGTGAGCTCGGTGATGTGGATCGGTGATGTGGACTACGCAGTGGCGAACCACCGTCTCAAACTCGGTAGCAACACCCCGTCGTAATTATATCAGGAGGTACTCGAAGTCGCGCAACATGCTTTGCTCCCCCGAATTTACCGCGCGCGGGGATCGCTCAATCG